CATAGAGAAGCAAAGTCAACTAATGCAGAAGAAACTGAAAAGCTGCACGGCATCAAGTCGACTGGCCTTTACAATTCCAATCAACTGAATAGGTTGAGAAACCGTCGTCATGCAAAAAGCGTGTGAGGAAGAGAACGAGATTGCGAATGAGATAAGGTTTCTTCTGATTGTGAAAGAGATAAAAGTTTTCACAGGCACACGTTTCTCTATTGCTCGCTAGAATACTACTGCTAATTTGGATTTGGGTATCCCCCGATGAAAACAGTCAGTCTACATGAAACAACTAACTGAATGAAATGAAAAACGTGATAATTATGAACACTTTTTTTTTGGCAATAGCCTTCTCAATCAGCTTTCTGCATGATGAAGAGTGTTTACTGTAATTTGAGATGTTCAATAAGCAACTAGCTACTTACGTTCCCAAATTATACTTAAGTTTTAAATACTTTGTGCTCCATAACAATAATAGTAATAATATGAGACAAATCTATCGCTAATTCCCATAGCAACACAAAGAAAAAATCATCGCCCTAATTCCCACGGCAATGCGCGTGGAGTTCTTCTAGTATTATATCTTCTTGTGCCAAAAGTTGGGCAATGCATGCAGTACGTGTATGTATGTAGCTAAGGCTGGACAACGAGCCGGCTCGGCTCGTTTCGGCTCGTCTTGTTAAGATAACGAGCTAGCCCGGCTCGGCTCGTTATCCTAACGAGCCAGAAAGTCAGCTCGGCTCAGCTCGTTAAAAGCTCGAGTTGGCTCGTTAAGCTCGCAGAGCCAGATATAAAAAAATACACAAAATATAATATTTGCATTTATCTAAAGTTTGAGAATAATAATAATACAAAAGAAATGTATCTAACAACCTTAAATCGAATAAAAAAAATAATATGTGCTAATATATATACAAGTATAATAAAATACTATAGTATTCATGCATCTAACAACCTTAAATGATACTTTTTTCCTGGAAGCTTGGCTCGTTTAGCTCGCGAGCGGCTCGTGAGCTAGCTCGAGTTGGCTCGTTATAGCTAACGAGCTAAAATCTTGGCTCGGCTCGACTCGAGTCGAGCCAGCCACGAGCCGAGCGAGCGCTTCGAGTTTTTCGTCCAGCCTTTTATATGTAGCACACATGTTCTGTTTTTTTTTAAACAAAGCACACACGTTCATGGTTCTCAAATTAGATCTTATTTCGACTCGTATCTACTTTTAATAACATGTTTTGAAAGTAGAATGGAGAGAAAATTTAATTTTTTACTCTAATCTACTTCAATACATATGGATTGATGTGGATTAAAGTGTAACTACTTATGTGTTTCGTCGGTACATGTTTGAGTGGCTAAGAGCATCTCCAGGAGTTTGGTAAAACAACTCCCTATCTTAATTTTTTTAGTAAAAAGAAAAAAAATCTCCTCCAACAGTTTGATAAAAGTGCCCCTTAAAAATAAAAAGTTGTCAAATATCCTTCTCAACTCATACATTTCGAAAGGCTAGAGAACTCCATATCCCTCCTCCATAGACCTGTTTTCAGGTTACTTCTCGCGCTAGAGTTTGTTTTCGCCCAAAGATATATTGTTGGCGTGATCTGTTTCTCCGCCGCCCTTTGGTCCGGCCGCTGCTGGTATGTACATGCCTCCATCACCGCCGCCTTGCAGGTCAACGGCGCCGCCGCCCAGTGCTTGCCTCCGCTGGTGTTTATTGATCTCTGGTTGGAAGGCATGGCCTGTTGCCTTCACGTGCGCATGGCCTCCTATCTGCGCGTGTGCTCACCGCTTGGCCGGAAGGCACGGAGGTGGGCACGCCTTGCCGGCCGTACGTAGCTGGCCGAGCCAAACGTTGGGAGTAGATGCAAATTTTCTTTTCAAATTTTTTATGAACAAAACAATAAACCAAAAAATAGTTAAATGTGGGCTCTACTCTACTATAATTTTTAGAATGCTATTATAGAAGACTGTTGGAGAAGAACAAAAATTAAGGTTACAGTTTCTTTTGTTAACTTGCTAAATTGATTAGTTTAGTAACTAAATTATATCAAACTCGTGGAGACGCTTTAACCATCACCTGATGTCTAAGGTCTCAACTGCCAGAGATGCACTTTCCTATCTAGTGCTACACTGTAGTATACTTCTACCTCAAAAAAAAAACACGAGGAGCGCTATATAATGCACTAATAATAATCCAAAGTCAAATGGCCTCATCTGCTCTTGTTCTCGGTTCTGTGACACCACTCGTGGATATTTTAGTTATTCTCTTCGTTCCAAATTATAAGTCGTTTTAACTTTTTTTCATTTATTTTGTTATGTAGCATAACAAAATAGATGAGCAAAAAAAGTCAAAAAGACTTATAATTTGAAATGGATCGGGTATTATATAATCTTCGCGCGTCTAGTTTATTTTTCTCTTCCACAGGCGTGTTTCACACTACTGTGTTCTAGAAGGAAACGTCTTCTTTCACACATGCTCAGTCGTCATATATGTATGTGACAAGTGACAACTAATTAACTCTGCCCTTGACGAGATGAGTTCACATTCACATATATAGCATCTATTTAGTTGCCCACATTGATATATGTATTTATGTTGCTTGTGTAGCCTAGTTTACTCGTGTTTGATTGTCCACATAGCTTTTTGTATATGCTTGCATAGTGCTCAAAACACGTACAATGCACCATTAACCAATACATCAAATTTAATTTAGTGGTATTCATTGTGGATTTGCACAAGCCGATGCAGCACATAGAAATAAAATCTTCTCACCCCCCATACCGTGCCTCCACTAGAACATGAACCTCTGCTAGAACAGACAGATGTGACTATATGCAACACAATGTACGTAAGAGCCAAACATAATCTTACCAAACACAACTTTCGCGTGAATTCCAAGCAAACACCAAGGCGTAGCATATGTTTATATTTGCCCTGTTCGGCTTACCCTATATTCAGCTTGTTCGACTTGTTTTTTCAGCCAGAACAGTATTTTCCTCTCACAACAATTCAGTCAGAACAGTGTTTTTCAGCCAAGATTCAGCAAGCCGAACGGGGCCAAATCTTAGATAATGCTAAATAAGGTCTAATACAACACAGACTAGACTATACAAGTAATCAATCATCATAACCATAAAGAGGGACACCTTGGATGGGTTTCACTCTTCTTTAGTAGTGCATTTTGGTTCTACGAAAATAGGAATTAGTTTGTGTAATTTAAATTTTCTCTTATAATAATAATTAGAAAACAAAGTTTTAAGCTGTTAGTTAGTCCAAATGGATATTCGAGTTTCTTTTCCTAGGTGATATATATATATATATATATATATATATATATATATATATATATATATATATATATATATATATATATATATATATATATATATATATATATATACCCACCAAAACAAGATTTTGTAGTCTATTGTTTGCTTAAGCATTTCAACTTCGGATCTCTGACTAACCTGAACATCTTAGGGACCACTCAACCGCCGCTCAGACCATAAAAGTGAATCCCCTCGAGTTACTGGACAGGCTTAGGCAGGGTTAAGTTAGACCCAAATAATTAAAAAGCCTAGCTCGAGCACGATAAGCATATTTTCCCCCATATGTTAATAGCATAATTAGATGTAGCAAGTGACCTGACGCACTTGAGTTTGAAACATAGGACCCGAGACCATACCCTTTGGGTGGGTGTGTCAATCAATTTAGCTCGAAAGGAACAAAGCTTTTTCCTCCACCTAGCATTAGCTTGTCGTAGCTCTACAAATGCTCAAGTGGCCATATGCACATACAGGTAACGTCAAGGGAGCGAAATCAGCTGACTTTGCTGACAACGTGGATAGGAGATAGGGACATTTGTTTTTGCATTTTTCACAAACCCTATATTTAAACCACGAAAAACGCCTCTAAGTTTGTAAAAATTATGATAAAAATCCTAGATATAGATTAGTATACAACAAATTTAAATAAAAAGATCTCATATCTCTAGCAGCTTCCAAAAATTAGATTTGGTTCTAGAATTTTGGAAAAATATCCATTAATTATAGAAAGTTCCAAAATCATTCTAATTGATGTCTAAATGTATACAACAGAAACATAAGACACAATCACCACAAATGCATAACATAAATGTATTGAACATTAATGTATGTTGTGTTCATACTAGTTGCATCTCATATTTTTGTCATGTCAAGTTTTTAAAGCTCATTTATACATATCAATCATAGTGTTTTTGGATTTTTTTTTTCTAGATTTTTTAGTATTTCTCCCATTTTTCTAGTGCTATATTTGTTTTTTTAATGTCTAGAGACATTTTAACAATCAAATATTTTATTTGGATGTTTCACATCCAATATATATAGGATTTATCTTGATTTAGAGACATTTTTTGATTTAAAATATTATCAAGTATTTACTAGATTTTAATTTAATTAAAAAATTATAAAACCGCCTTTGAAACCACTTCAATCCATGCCGGGAGCTAATTTGAATGGTCTTGAGAGTTTATAGGAGGTAAAATGTCTGATTTTAAAGTAGGAGGGAAATCCGATAATAACGATAGCTTATAGTAGGAGTTAAAATAGCCTTATAGTCACTACTGGAGGCCCTTGATCAGTGGCAAAGCCACAAACATGGCCCACATACATCCGGAAGAGGCCCAATGGCCCATAACGGCCGTACCTGCATCCGACGTTTCCAAGCTTAACACGCGTCATCCATCGGGAGCTCGTTCTAGGGTTTTGCTTCGACACCGCTCCCCGCTCATATATAAACACCCGGCGCCGCCGTTTCAATTCCCTTTCCTCTCCCTCCGTCGCTCGCCTCGGTCCAAACCCTAAGCAGGTACGCTTCTGCTGCCGTGGCCCGTGGCCGCCTCCTCTCTTGCTGACGGCTCGACTCGCGAAATCGCATGTTTCGGTGCCCTATCTGTTGGCCATTTCACCGTATCTGACCCTTCTTTCTCTGTTCTTTTTTGTTCGTTCTACAGGGAGTTGAGTGACCGGTTGCAGCCATGAGGTACTACCGATTTCTCTTTCTCGTCGCATCTGCTGTGTCATGCGTTAGTTCTTGCGATAGAAATGCCGATTTCGTGTAGTTGTCTTGTCGATTGCCATAGTAGGATTTGGTCCTATCAGGGATCTTTTCAGCTGAATCGTGCCTTTAGGAGATCATTGCCTTATGTATTTGACTTCTTTTTCATTTGATTATTATAAGCTATGCCATCGATCTAAGTATGATAAGAAATCTAGGAGCCCCTCCTGTATCATGCTTTGATTAGTTTATGCTTGATGTAGCCGTGGTCTTTCCAATCTAGGCCTGCTATCATGGCGGGATTTAACGGGTTTTTTGGGACGGGTTCTAATGTGTTCTGTGTGTAAATGGGTGGAAACTTTACTATGTGAGGAGCATTGCTGTTGAGCCCTCGTCCTGCGCACTTTCATCAGCTATTTCTCTAACCTATCTCTGCAGTTGAGTTCTGTTTTCTTTTGATCCATTTGTCTGCTGCATCACTCTTTGCACTGCTTCTGTTTTTTCTGGATCCATCTGGCTGCAGTCTGTTTTCTTCTTTTTGACTATTTTTTTCCTGGATTAGTGATGGATTTGGAAAGCGAAGTGTGACTGTTTGATATGGAAGTGATCACACGGTTTCCACCACAGCTCTCGAGCTCTTTCCTACAACAAGAGAAATGCAGGATTTAATGCTGGCTGGCCGTTGCTAATGGCCATCTAGTTTGGCTTTTCTGTGACATTTTCTCTTGTTTTCTGTAGAAATAATTTTTTAAATGAACTGTGAGAAGGTCAATTTGTATCCTACCATATCCAATTGCTGCTGTGTGTTACCAGTGGATGGATATTGGATGTGTTGCTCAGAAATTTCTATTTATGTTCATCTGGATTACTTTTCTCCATGATTTTAGAACCGCCTGGTGATGGACCATTCAGCAACCTGAGAGCATCAGTTAGCATGCTGCATGGGTTAAATAGGGCGGGTTGGGGTGGGTGTTGCGGAGCAGGTTGGGGTGGTTGCTTGATTTAGATTTTCGGGTAGGGTTTGGGCTACAACAGTTAGCTCATTGGCTATGGGTTGGGGTGGGTTAGACCCCATTAGCAGGCCTATTCCAATCTGATTCTTTGGGAGTTGGGTCCAGCTGTTAGTTCGTTCACATAATGAAAATGGATGCGAGATAGATTCAGGTTGTTGTCTCGACACATAAGATAGATTCATTTAGAGTGTGTTTGGTTTGAGGAATGAGGTGGTCCATCTTCTTCTTACTCTTCACATGAGATAGACCCCATTAGCCTTAGATAGGAGTGCTTGGAAAACAGCTATTCACGTGCCTGAACCTTGATTGCTTCTGCTGGGTTTCAACTCTAGCCTACCCCAACTTGTTTGGGGCTTATAGGCTTTGTTGTTGTTGTTGTTGTTGTTGTTTGTGGAATGGAATGAGTTGATCCATCACCATCTCATTCCTCACAAGGTAATAATTAGTATATGCATGAGGAATGGGTTGATTCCACCAAAATTCATGGGATGAACTCATGATGCATCACCTCAAGCATGGGGTGATTCCACAAACCAAACACACCATTAGTTTGCTTATTATGATTGATTATTCTGCAGTTTTTGCCTTCTACAATTATCCCTATTGGCAGGAATAATTGGAATGTAGTGTTCCCATCCAGATAGATTATCTATGTCAAATAATTTCTGTGCAATGATATTATTGCAGTAAGTTGCAGTCCGAGGTTCTCAAGGATGCCATTTCCCAGATTGTTGGGGATGCCAAAGAGAAGAATAGGAAGTTCACCGAGACTGTTGAACTTCAGATTGGTCTGAAGAATTATGATCCACAGAAGGACAAGCGTTTCAGTGGCTCTGTTAAGTTGCCCCACATCCCTCGTCCGAAGATGAAGGTCTGCATGCTTGGTGATGCCCAGCATGTTGAGGAGGTAAGCAAGCAGTTGATGATGTGCTTGAAATTCTATTTATTTATATGTTGAGCATGCTTACAGTAGTACACTAGTAGTTTGTTGAACTGAAAAAAAAAAACAATGTTCTGAATTGCTCAATTGTGTCTAGCATGTATTAGTCCAATCTTGCGCTTGATTCCATTTGCATTAAAATCTGTATATACAAATTCTGTTCAACTGTATGAAAGTTTCAATTTTGCTCAGATAATATGTGTTCTTTCTATCTAACTCTTCCTCACAGAAACCATTTTACTACATTTGCAGGCTGAGAAGATGGGACTTGACTATATGGATGTTGAGGCCCTCAAGAAAATGAACAAGAACAAGAAGCTTGTTAAGAAGCTTGCCAAGAAGTATCATGCTTTCCTGGCATCAGAGGCCATCATCAAGCAGATTCCCCGTCTCCTTGGTCCTGGTCTCAACAAGGCAGGCAAGTAGTCCATTTCTGACATGATTGTTACTTTGCATGCTGCTAAGCTGTAACATGCAGTGTTTCATATTTTTGTTTGTAGTTTTGCATGATTTTGCTGTTTTCATTCGTTTATGTTACGCACTGAAAGCGTTCCTCCTATGTGTTGTCTTACCTGCAATGAGTGATAATGACCAAATTGTACTTGTTGCAAGTCAATGGCCAGTCATTGTGTTAATGTTAGACTGTTTATTAGTTGCTATTGCTATTTGACATTCTCAAAGCAATGACACTCTGGTAGCTGTGCATCTGAGAGGTTTTGCTATATATGGTCTGCATTGCCTGCCCTGCTGACTGAATCATATTGATATTTTTTTTTTATAACAGAATCATGTTGATATTATTACTGCAGGCAAGTTCCCTACGCTGGTTACTCACCAGGAATCTCTTGAATCCAAGGTGAATGAGACGAAGGCTACTGTCAAGTTTCAACTGAAGAAAGTCCTTTGCATGGGCGTCGCTGTCGGTAACTTGTCAATGGAGGAGAAGCAGATCCAGCAGAACATCCAAATGAGCGTCAACTTCCTCGTGTCCCTTCTGAAGAAGAATTGGCAGAATGTGAGTGATGCTCTGGTCTCTGTTGCATGCATACATACCTTAAGAACTGTTCCTGTTGTGTTTACATCTAATGAACATTTTAGAATATACAAGCTGAAGGACTTGGTTATAACATGTTGTGATATATGCTATGCAGGTGAGATGCCTGTACGTCAAGAGCACCATGGGGAAACCATACAGGGTGTTCTAAGTCTGCTCTTTATGAATTTTGATGCTAGGGTTTTGAACCGAGGTTGTCTTGGAACTAAACTCTTGTTAGAGTATATTTGGTTGGCAGGATATTGGAGTGGTGTCTTGCCCCCAAGCCTTTGTATTCTCAATGGGTCTCATTGGTTGTCTGCACAGAACTTTGCCTTGCTTGAAATTCTACTTTATAGTTGTTTGGCTAGGCTGTGTTACTCTTCTGTATTGCTTCTGTTTATGTTTGGTTGGATGCATAGTGGCAAGCTGCATCTAGTAATCTGTGTTTGTTATACTTGCGCATCTAAAATCAACATCGTCAATTCATTGAACACCCTGGCTGCCGGAGCTAGGTCCTCAAGGGTCAAGGCCAAGAGCGATGGAGGCAAAGTGCAGCACCGAAGAAGGCTGCTGGCACCGAGGCCAGCGCTGCTGGCTGATTGGTCGGAAGCGGTCGACGGCGAGAGCGGCCGCGAAAAGGGCCACAGGAGGATGCGCTCACCACGCACATGGCCGTGTGCGGGTTGGAGCCGCCTTTCGCATCGACGAGCCCCGGGAGGAGAAGCGTATGCACATGAACAAGAAGCCGCACAGAGGACGGGCGGCGGCGGCTAAGATCTAAGAAGGACGCGCTGAGCAAGTAGACGACCGGGAAGAGAATGGCGGCAGGCGGTGGGGTCAGAGGTGGGCACGCACAACGAACAGGTTCGGTGGGGAAGGAGATGGACTGATGGAGATCCATGTGCACAGCGGATGCAGCAGGCTGCACAGCGGGTGCAAGCACCGCACAAGGGTATCTGGTTGCGCAGGGAAGGGGTCCTTTAAGGAGAGTGCTATTAGCAGATACGCTGAGAACCAAACTAGACTTTGGCACTACGGTACCCTAGTGCCCAGGATAAGGAGACACGTCGACAACCAATCAGACTCTGGTCTTTTTCGACTAGATAGAGAAACGGTTGATGTTGATGTTTTGTGAGAGAAAAATATTATTATTTTACTGAAACGGTACGGCTGATAAGCCTCTATATATATAGGCGTATTATATCCAATCCTTTCTACTCTCATGGTACCATGAGTGGCAGCCCCACCCTTGGGGAAATCAATCTCCACGGGATAGCGCCCTCGTTGAAAGTGTTTGGCCACAAATCTAATGGTACTAGACTACTTATCTTGGTACCGATACATAACGATCAAAGTCGAATCGTGAGTCTATTAATGAAGCAAATTCGATGAAACAACATCCGGTACCATACAGAAGGGGTCATAAACTTGAGTCTTGACCAATTCGAAAGATAGATGTATGCCCATGTGTTGCAAATGGGTTTAAAAATCCAACGTTCTTATTTCTAATAATCTATGCATTCGTTCACTTAGTAACGATAGTTAAATGTCCATCAGGCCATGCGTGCATTGCCACGGACTTGCTACAAATTAAATTCATTTAGTAACGATATGCCCAATCATACTCATCATGTTCGTCCGTTAGTTACCCAAATTAAGTGGGGGTGTTTCGATCCACTGGTTGAAGTTTAATCCGGGTCACTCGAAAGTTTGGGGGCAATGGCCCCGTTCGTGTGTCCTTAAACCCGGCTTGATCCGCTTTTTTTTTATTCAGAACAGTGTTTTCCTTTCACAAATTCCTCCAGCATTCCTCCAAACCATTCAAATTCCTCCAGCCGAACACCCCCAATGCTAGCGCCCGGACGTCCGGACGGACCCACACGTCCGGACGCCCGCGCATGCTGATGCGCCCTGCGCCTCTTGCTTTATTTTTTTGGAAACACGCGCCTCCTCCTCCTGCTGTGCCCCACGCCTGTTGCTGCGCCCCACGCATCCTCCTGCCCGCTCAGTTGCATGCAAGAGATAGGGAACACAGCACGCGTACCCCAATACGAGAGAGAGCACAACGCGCATGCCCCAATGCGAGAGAGACCCTAGCTGCATGCGAGAGAGAGGGATCACAGCGCGCGTGCCCAATTTTGAGAGAGAGAGAGAGAGAGAGCACATCGCGCGTGCTCCAATGCGAGAGAGAGAAAGGGAGCACAACGCGCATGCACATGTGTGTGAGCCGGCTGCAAGCTCCACCGTGGGCGACCACGCCTAGTGGTGCAGGGGTGCCTAGTGCAGTGTGTGCTTGCCCGCGTGTTATAACGCGTGGGGAGCAGTACCTGTTGCAACATACTGAAATAAGGTGAAACAATTAAAATATATGTTTGCAACATATGTGTATAACCACTGCAACATATGCAACATTCAGATAAAACACTTGCAACATACGTCCGAAACAGGTGAAACATTTGGGACATACACCTGCAACATATATGTGAAAACATATGCAACATCCAGATAGAACACTTGCAACATGAAAACACTTGCTGCAATAGAAGACTGAAACAGATGAAACATTTTGGAGCATACGTTGCAACATATGTATGAAAACATATGCAACATCCAAATCAAAACGCTTGCAACATACTGTCGGGGACCAATACTAGAGTACCCGAAGAGGAGCTAATGGTCATCAACATTGATTCATCCGAACAGTCAAGAGAGCGACTATAGCTCCAACCGACCCCCAGGTGCGCGGGCTCCGCCTCGCCCGACCTCTGGGGGCGGGCTCCGCCTCGCCCGACCCTTGGGTTTGTGCTCCGCCTCGTCTGACCCCGAAGCCACGGGCTCCGTCTCGCACGACCCTTGGGTTTGTGCTCCGCCTCGCTCAACCCCGAGGCCGCGGGCTGCGCCTCGCCCGACGGGGACCCATACCGCCGTCAATCACTCCAAGTCCAAGCGTATGGGCCTGGGTCAAAACTCTCACACCAAGGAAGAGACTGGTACGTCTCGATGTAACCCGTGGCCATAACAGGCCATACTTGAGGGTTCACATCAAGAACAGCGTCGGGCATGCCAGTACTGTTTATGCCTAACCCTCGTACGAACGATGACAGACGCGTCAGTTCACCACGACGTCCGTCGGGACGGAATGGAATGGCTCTAGTGATGGACAGGGCCGCGACGTGGAGCTATCCCTGTTGACATCTGCAGGATCAACAGGACCCGCATGAAGGAGAAGGACCCGGCGATCCTGAAGGCCTTCTTCTCTCTCTCTCGTTCTTCTCTTTTCCTCCGCTGTAACCCATGCTTTCCCTTGGCCTATAAAAGAAAAAGCAGGGCGTCCCATGAAGGGGATCGAATTCAATCCGATTCAAACGGGATGGACCCATCGACCGATCGATCTAGATCCGCACGAAGCCGGACCGCGAGATAAACACACACGAGCACACGGCTAAGCCGCAATCGAACTCTCAGCACCCATTCATTCTTTCCACCAGAGACTTAGGATCATTTCTCTCTCTCGTCCGTCTGTAACCCTTACTACAAGCTTTCAGTGCTAGTAACACGAGTAACAGCGATGAACTGGATGTAGAGACTTTCTGCTCGAACCAGTATAAACCTCGTATCCCTTAAGCACACCATCCGAGCCAGACGCGCAATATTAGAAATTTACTCATCGGTGGTAACTCGAAACACCGACACATACGTCTGGAAACATATGAAACAGTTTGAACAAACGCTTGGAACGTGCCTCTGAAACACTTACAACATGTGCAACATCCCCTGATCTACTTTTGCAATATCAAGATGAAATAAATGCAACATACATCTGAAACGTCTGAAACACTTGAAACATACATATGCAACATAGGGGAGATAGGGCCGGGCCAGTCGATTCAAGACGTCAGGGTGGGAGCCGGCGAGCCACGGAGCGCGAGCACCACCACCATCGACCACGCTCGTGGGTGCCTTTGGCTCGGCCGGGGAAGACTTGAGGCGCAACGGCACGTGTGCCCCAGCGGCCATGGCGGGGTCAGCGGTGCGCCCAAAGGCAATGGGCGATGGACGAACGGCAAGGGAGCGAGCGACGTAGGTGACTGCCACGCAGGTGAGCGCCGCAGGGAGCGAGGGCACGCGGCGTGGCCGGCGATGGGGGAAGGGCACGGCGCGGCAGCCCGACGAGCGCGCGCTGGGGAAGGGGGCGGACGGATGAGCAGCCAGGGCAAGCGACGCAGGTGGCTGCCATGTAGGTGAACGACGCAGGGAGTGAGGGCGCGTGGCGTGCCGGCGACGGGGAAAGGAAACGGCGTGACAGCCCGACGAGCGTGCTGGAGAAGGGGACGGACGGATGATCAGCCACTCTGCTTTGGGGCTGAGCGAATAAGCACGAAGAAGTGGGGTGTAGACTCGAGAGGGACGAGCGGATAAGCACAACGAATGAGGATTTGTTTTTTGTTTGGGGCCCCTCCTGGGGAGCTGCGTCCGGACACAGAGTCACGGACAGACACCCTGCATGAAGTATTTCTAAAATTTTGGATGTCAATTCGGAGGGCTAAACATGAGCTAATTATAAAACTAATTGTATAAGCAGTAACGAATTCATGAGATGATTTTATTAAGTCTAATAAATCCGTGATTAGCATAGATTTACTGTAGCATCACATTCGCTAATCATGGACTAGTTAGGCTTAATAGATTCGCGAATTAGTCTTCATTTATGCAATTAGTTTTATAGTTAGTCTATATTTAAACACACCTCCTAAAGGTCAGATGCCTGAAATTAGATTACTTACCAGGCGATCGAATATGTCACCGGTGCCCGACCGAAGAAGACGATCTATGACTTGAGCAATAACTAAATTCTCAGACGCCTGAAGCGTAGCATTTCCCATATTTAAAACATCTAATGTGACCGGACTAAAGTTTAGTCTAGCGTCCCAACACCCCTAGCTATTTCAGCTCCGTTCATTCGCGCTCGCCCACTCACGGTCAAACTCACTGCCGTAAATTTTCAAGATTCGCATGTCCCTGCTGTAAAATTTCAAGCTCCTCATTGTGGTGCCAGACTTTAGGCCATGAAACGCCAACCATGATTGGCAACTCTGCAGATCTAGCCAAGGACTATGTGAGAATGAGATCAATTCATTCAGATATCTGTGCTTGAGGACACCCCAGCCTGAAATTGGGCCGTTTGGTACAGCTCCTTGGGCAGCTTCCGGAGCCGTTTTTGGGCTTCTTCAACCAAACGGGGGCAAGGCAACCAGATTCGCGCTGGGAGCCACGGAAATTCCGCAGAGAGGAGGAGAGAGAGGGTGGAAGCTGGAAAAACGTAGCTTCCACTGGCTCCGCTTGCTCCCGTGGGCCCGCTGCAGGTCGACGGGCGGATTTGCCCTCACTGGGACGTGCGGGCGCCGCCGAGCACGGGGCCGCCGGGGTCGCCAAGGGGCAAGTGCTCGGGGGCGAGAGCCGCGCCGCCGGGTGCGGGGACGCCGCGCGGTGCCACCTGGCGAGCGCTCGGAAGCGCACCGCACGGGGCCACCAGGCGCGGGCCACCGTGGTCGTCGAGGCCGCCGGGTGTGGGGGCAGAGGCGCAAGCAGCTAGAGCGGCTGGGAGATGCCGCCGGGCGTGGGGACGGAGGATGCCGAGGCCGTGGGTGCGTGAGGTCTCGCGAGGCCAGAGGTTCAAGACGTACTGGTTCGTTCTAAATAACCGTCGCTTTTGATTCCCGCGCCGTAATTACGACGGCGTAGAAAATACGTGTAATATTTGTTTGGACGACGCTTTATGCGGAGCTGATTTATTGTGAGAGAGAAATATCGTTTTATGGCTGATAAGCTGTTGCGAACAAAGCATTTTATTATGAAAATAGATTCAAGAATCTATCTGATGATATTAATTTTATACCATAAATATTAGTATTATATATATAGTCAAAGTTGTTTATCGAGAAGCAAAAATAACAGTTATTTAGGGATGAAGAGAGTACTGCATAGCCCCGTGTGTGAATGAGCCAATGGATAAGGTAGAAAGAAAAGGAAAGGAAAAAAAGAAAAAAAAGGTAGTATGGACATTTCATCTTTTGGACTACTTGGAGAAGTTGTTTTGTCAAATGGTTTAAAAAAAACAGCTCCAACTCCCTAAGTGAGAATGTTCCACAAATGAAGCCACAACTGAAGTTGTTTTGGTCGGAGTCGGAGCTCTACCAAACGGGCCCAGATACCACGACTTGAAATCCAGACATATATAGTTACTTTAATGCATCCTCAAGTTTGAAGTTTGAGCAGATACTCTTTGTTTGGTCCAGTTGGGCCTTCAACAAGGTAAATTTGCCTCAACATAGCAGTTTTCTTACAGAACTAAATAGGGGCACATATGTATCATAAATGGATCTGAATTAGATAGGGAAAAAAATAAATCTGAAGGCACATTTTGATTTCCTGAGAGATCAAGAACACAAAATACTCTTCATCAATGTCTGCAATTTAGAAAGCTGGGTATTAAACACATTCAAATCGGTATCCCTAGCAAACTATGTACATCCTACTAATACTTGAAATAGCAAAATGACTTAAATCAGTTAAAACCACATGTGGTGATTGAAGGTAATGAAATAGGAAAGGAAAGACATGTAGATGCCACCACTTGGGACAGCAGTAAAGAATAGGAAATCCTACCTCCACACCACAGGATCAAGCATAAAGAGAGTATTAGGAAAATTTTCTCTTGCTTCAGCATATATAGCATGTCTCTCGTCATTCATGCCACCGTAATCTTCTGAATTAAAATTCTAACCATATCATTTACTCAGTGTGAGGACCGATTTCTGCAAAGCCATCAGGCGTACCTGCAAACTTTGTGCCAGGGAAATTATTCAACAACAACAAAAGGACACTTGAAAGTTAATAATTCAATCATGCCAGGGAAATTATGAAATGCAGGCATGTCAATACTGCTCGGTAGCCAAGGTATTGGCCGAAACAAATAGATTACACTAATATATTCAGAGAGGCTTCTACTTCTCATATTCTTCAGTTGCACAAATCATTTCGTCTTTGATTTCACAAAATCAAGGGATCACTTGACCCCAATTGCAACTCTACAGGTAGAAGTTTACACATGAACAGGCTGGTTTTTTTTTTTTGGGTCATAATTCAAGTTAACAAATCCCCAGAAAAACTGAACAGCGCAGGCTGTACTGCAGTCTGCAGCTAAGCTGAAGCTGGAGTTAAGAGACTCCATCCATCACAGAAAGCTTCCGAATTCAGATTATTCACTGCCCTGTCTAAATTTTGAAACTCTGAATCCCCTACCATTATACAAATTCATCTTACCCGAAGTTCACACCCCCATCCCAATCCCATCTCCGAAGACTCTCCGAAGGTTCAAAGGACCGACCGGCGCTGCAGGCTGCAGCATTTCTTGGCGGGATTATCGCAGCCCCACATCTTGATTCTCCGTACTATCTCGCCTCCCTCGAGCCGCATCAGCCACCGGGGGAGACGCGGCGGCGATTGTTGCTGCCATCTTTGCTCTTGCCGCCTTCCTTTTCCTTGCGCGCGGGCGCCTCGGGGACGACGCACCGGAACAGGCTCGCGAAGATGCGCGCCTTGATCTGCCCGCGCCGCGGCAGGGTCCGCCTCGTCGCCTCCTGCTGCTGCCGCCGCTCCATCGCCGCCGCGGGTGGCTTCTTGCTCAGGAAGGCACGGGACTCTGAGGACTGGAGAGCTGTGTCCTGTGTTGTGTCTGATGTCAGAGTGAGTGAGTGAGTGACGGCGGCAGGCGAAGGCTTTGCCATTTTATAGCCGCAGAGGCAGAGCAGATGAGATGCAGGGGACATGGGATTGGGAAGAGTGTGGGCCAAGGCGCCAAGCTTCCTTGGTGAGCAAGGAGCTCCTCTCCCAGGTTTGAAAAGTTCTAGAATCGCTCTGGGCTTGTACTCACCTTTCATAGTCTGAAACCTTCGGTTCCTCCTCTTCAAATTGAGTCATATCACGTCGAATGTTTAACACTAATTTGGAGTACTAAATATAGAATATTTAAAAAACTAATTACACATATTGTGACTAATTTACGAAACGAATCTATTAAGCCTAATTAGTACATGATTTGACAATGTGGTGCTACAGTAAACATGTGCTAATAATAGATTAATTAGACTTAATAGATTCATCTCACGAATTAGTCACGACTCCTACAATTAGTTTTATAATTAGCTATTGTTTAGTTCCGGGGGTTAGCCTCCGAATAATCCGATGTGATAAGAAGTAAACTTTAGTCCCTGCGTTCAGTCCAAAGAGCGTCTTGTGCTAGGTGTACTGCCACTGCCATAAAAAAGACTCCGTCTTGTGTGCAGTGCAGTGTGCTGCTTGGCCTCTGATTCAACCTCCATGGTATCTGTGGATGCACTGCCAGCCAAGTGACAACTATGCAATGTCATGCCAAAAAAAAAACTGTGCGATGTGAAGAACAAAGTAGTACAGATCTGGGAATAATCAGCCATGTTTGATGGTTACCAGCAATCAAATCTGATTTACAAGAACAATGGCGACCAGTGTTTTTCTCTTTGATGGTTACCAGCAATGGTTACCAGCAATCAAATCTTTGATGGTTACAAGAACAATGGTTACCAGCAATCAAATCTTTGATGGTTACCTCCATGTACCTGTTCGCTTGCTTGTAAACGATCGTAAATTTCCAGCCGGGAACAGTGTTTTTCTCTCACACCAAACCAGCCAGCAGTAAATAATCCACGATACGATACGGCCTCCCGAACAGGTTGTTTTCAGTGTTTGGGTAGAGTAGTCACAAAGCTGATCTGAAAAATGTTGGGACTACGACTGGCTAGATTCTCTGATCAGCAATACAGCTGGCTTGCCATAGAAAATTATGCCCTTGTCTGGCTGTCCAATTCCCCATGGTGATTGTACATGTTTAGCAAATCAATGCTATCTAGCAATGGGATTTGGTCTCCAGACAAGAACAGGAGAAGAAAATAGAGATTCACTGATGCCAGATAGAATTATGCAGCTCAGTTCTGGTTCTTTGTTAGTCATGGACCTTGCAAGTGCCCCAAAACCAGACATAAACTAAGGCATCTGTTTGATAACTTGTACAATAATGCACAATCAATGAGCCACTAAAATACAGGTACAGATGGGCCAAGGTTGTTAGAAGAACTTATTTGATCATCCAGAGAGCAGTTGACTTGAATGACACACTACACCTCTGTGTGATCCATCTATTCCGTTCACACAGGGAAAGAAAAGTCTTTGGTCATCAGCATGGACCAATTTTCTGTTTGCTACTGTCTGGATTCAAACACAGTGCAATATCAACAAAGGCAAGAGACAGAAATAATAACTATAACGGACTCACGGTAATAATTCATAAAACAACATAACGTGAGAGCCAAGCTATGTTATTTTCCAATTGCATTTCCTCTATATATTCAACAAAATGTTAAAACACACCATCCTGATGCCTCCAACACAAGAGACATAAGCCAATTATTTAGGGCCTAGGAAACAAGGTTAGTCATATAGCTTTACATCTAAGCAAGATTCCTGTCTGCCTAGGGCTTATTATTGTATGAAGACAATGATCGTCTTGTTTGACCTAAATTTGTCTGTAATAAGAAACGTGATTCTCATGTGTCCATCAGTTTCCAATTGATACTTTGCACATGTCCACTTGCCCAAACAGTCCCAACACTACAAACTACCCTTCACAGATTAATACAGCTAATATTTGATGATCACACATTGTAATTGCTGAGAAGTGAGAACATGCACAAAAGTTACATCAGGTGCATCAACATGTATTGTGATTATTGAATACCGACCAACATATTATTCTACCTGACCCAAATATTTTCTTCATTATAATGGAGGAATAAAGACTCAGAGAGCAGCCATTTAGTATATAATTGAAGAAAACCTCCAGAATGAAATGGACGTGGTGTTATATCTACTTGATTGCAATTGAAGCAACACTGCTGCTATAGTTGGTATAGTACATGTAAAAATGTACAATACAGACCTCCCAGTTGAAATCTTAGTTTACAGCTCACCTCCTAGCTGTCATCTCTGCAGTTACTTGGGAGGAACAACTAGTGTAAAGATTAGTAATGTCAAGACGATGATAATTGCCCCCACCAAGGTAAACTGGGGACTTGTCCACAGCATCAAATTAGATCTTTCAGTTCTCTTGATTGGATCAACCTCTTCTGACAATGGATACTCGCTGCGCCGTGGGTTCCAGGTCACATACTTGTTTGGCGAGAAATCAGAAAAGAGGGTCCTCTTCCCTTTCTTCTTAAAGGCAGTCCATGCCTTGTCCCAGTCAGTAGAGGTTTCACCTGACGAGGAAGAAAAGAAATGGTCATTGCTACCTTCATAACAGTATCTAAAATAAGCTAACTATGAACAGATAAGAAGTGCATTTTTTTTTCTTGTTTAAAAAGGAAGGCAGGAACGGTGCCATCTTAATCAAAAAGGGAAGTGAGAAGTTTTAAAAGATACAGTGGGTCACACCAGCAGTCTAAATGATCAAAATCTATACAAAAGGTTTAACTTCCTAATGCTACCTTCATAACACCTGACGAGGAAGAAAAGAAATGGTTATTGCTACCTTCATAACGGTATCTAAAATAAACTAACTATGAACAGATAAGAAGTGCATATTTTGTCTTGTTTAAAAAGGAAGGCAGGAATGGTGCCATCTTAATAAAAAAGGAAAGTGAGAAGTTTTAAAAGGTACAGTGGGTCACATTTTTTTTTGAAAGTTCCAGCTTATAGCTGGCTTGTATTAATAAATAGAGTCAGAAATACATCCACAAATTTTGCGGGCAGGCCTGGTGCAGTGGTGAGAGCTGTCTTACTGAGTCACCAGGTCACGGGTTCGAAGCAGCCTCTCCGCAGATTTTGCGGGGGGAAGGCTTGCCTCGGTTTTTCCCTTTCCCAGACCCCACTCACGTGGGAGCCTCCGGCACTGGGTCTGCCCTTTAGAAATACATCCACAAGTGGTGCTCACATCGCCTCTTAAGCTGGTAGACCACCAGCCAGGCAAAAGAAAGGGAGGAGGAAAACTGACTACTCACTAACTGAGTTTACAACTAAAGTGGACAGAGGTCTGATGCCCAACAAGCTCCAGGAGACTATTTGGTCATGGATTTCTGCAAAGATCGAGCTTTCATTCTTTTCTCCCCGACTGAAAATTCTGCTGTTTCGTTGTTTCCAGATCACCCACACTACTAGGAGCGCGAGGAGTGGTCAGTTGCCTCTCCAGTGGCTATCAGCTCTAGGAACCAACTTTGAATTTCGAGTACTGAGTTCCAGTTTGCTGGATTCAAACTAAGGCATTTGCTCCAGCAGACGTCTGAATTACAGTGGGTCACATCAGCAGATCTAAACGATCAAAATCTATACAAAAGGTTTAACTTCCTAATGCTCACTTTCTTTGAGCAATATCCTCCTTGATGAAGTAGTAGATGCTATCTTGTTGTCACATTTGAGTTTTGATACACTATGGTTTGGTGTATTCCAACGGTTTCACAAGGTGTAGGCAACGATGCCACTCGCTTCCATTCTCCTTTCCACTGGAACTAACACTAGAATCCACTACCACCACTTTTCTAGGAGGTCTTTTGCAATTGCAGACTAGGGCTACAGTTAGCCACCTACATCCAGTTAGATGTTGTGCAAAGGAACAATATAAAGTAATATCCTTTGTGTTTTCGGGTTGATGGGAGCAAAGTTTGTGAATTAGAACAGTGGTCCATCTCTCCTTGCAAGCTACCTGTGGTTTTGTTTTGCAGGAAAGCCCCAAGTCATCGAGTATTATTTCATTAGTACAGCAACAAAATTCTGACCATGAGAGGTTTCTCAGGTCATGCATAACCTTATAGCCGTATAATAGACTTTTAAAACCAACTATAAGATGGAAATTCATAAATCATCATCACCAACTATCCACCAAAGCAAATGTATGGATGAGCAGCATCAAAGCCAAGCATCAAAGCCAAGTATATTCAGGTGGAGCCTCTCAGCTCCCCCGGTGATGTTGCTCAAAAAAAATCAGTGACTTTTTGTGTAAAGGGATTAGGCACTATACGGAAAACAATGCAAATTCGAGTGTGAAAATCTCCAGAAGGCAGAAACACTGTTTTCTCTTCTTCAAGACCATCACAGTGCTGACACTTAAAAAGAAGAAAAGGTTTCGATTACAGCGAAGCAAAATTCGCATCGTGTCAAAGACCAAAAAATGGAGTAAAAATTGTTTATGGTTAGTCAGGACCTAACTACTGGATTGTGCACTGTAAACCTCACTCAGACACTCAGAGAGGGAAACGATTGCCAACATAAGGACAATCTACACAATTGGTGCATCGTTGGTTTTTCCTCGCCTTAATACATTTGTTTACGTCAAACTCAAATGTATACATACGTTGTCTTAAGGTAAGGTCGCAGACAACCACCAAAACCTGCACCCTCTTGAAATTGAAGCAAGCAAGCATCATCCAGCTCAAATCTTAGCACACACAGCCCTACGCGATCAAACAAACAGATCACATCGAACCTAGACGAGGAAAGCAGGCAGTTGCATCCTGAATTCCTGATCTGATGACTGGGCAACTTAAACCGCACTGTACCTCTGATTGGCCGTACTTAC